CAGGCAATTTGAATCCAGAATTTGGGATCTTAAAAGGAGTCATGGAGAAAATAGATCTATTCTAAGTCCTCTTCTAGCGTTTACTCCCATTATTATACAAAAGGCATTCTTCCTGTCTAGGTCTCACTCAAGTCCCAACCAAAATTCCAGATATTCTCTGTGTTGTTGTTTCTAAACTAAACTTACAAATGAGAAGGGAGCCTATTCCTGGTTGGCAGGCAGCTGCCAGGAAGTTAGGAGACAAACTGAGAAAAGATAGCAGATGCAAGAACTCAAAGCACTGTGTGTGGTCATCTAGGACAGCTGTCTACCCTGGATCCTTTCACTATTACTACTAATGAGCTTCTGTTATCAAAAACAAAAATCAAACCAAACAAACCCAAAACCAAAACAACCCCACACAGTGCAATCTGCTTAAGGAGTGAAAACTCTAAATGCATCTACTACAACGAAGATTTGCTTTTTTTCAAAAAATTCTCACCTGAGGATATGTTTTTCATTGAGTCTAGAAAGAGGGGAAGAGAAAGGGAGAGAGAGAGAAACATCGATCAGTTGCCTACATACTTACCCAGACCAGGGATCGAACCCGAGACCTTTTGGTGCATGGGATGATGCTCTAGCTAACTGAGCCATACTGGCCAGGGCTTTTATTTAAGTTGCTCCTTTAAAGATGAACCCTAACCGTGGCTGGTGTGGTTACAGCGTCATCCCACGCACCAAAGGGTCTCGGGTTCAATTCCCAGTTAAGGGCATGCACCTGGGTTGCAGGTTAGATTCCTGCGGCACATGTGGGAGGCAACCAACTGATGCATCTCTCACATAGATGGTTTTTTCTCTCTCCCCTCCTCCCTCCCTTGAACTCTCTCTAAAAATATCAGTGGAAAAAATATCTTTTGTACCATCTCACACCTGTCAGAATGGCTATCATCAACAAATCAACAAACGACAAGTGCTGGAGAGGATGTGGAGAAAAAGGAACACTTGTGCACTGCTGGTGGGAATGCAGACTGGTGCAGCCACTATGGAAGACAGTATGGAGTTTCCTCAAAAAACTGGAAATGGAACTCCCATTTGACCCTGTGATCCCACTTCTAGGAATATATCCCAAGAAACCAAAAACACCAATCAGAAAGGATATATGCACCCATATGTTCATAGCAGCACAATTCACCATAGCTAAGATCTGGAAACAGCCTAAGTGCCCATCAGTAGATGAATGGATTAGAAAACTGTGGTACATCTACACGATGGAATACTATGCTGCTGTAAAAAAGAAGGAACTCTTACAATTTGCAACGGCATGGATGGAGCTGGAGAGCATTATGCTAAGTGAAATAAGCCAGTCAATGAAGGAAAAATACCACATGATCTCACTCATTCATGGATAATAAAGACCATTACAAACTTTTGAACAATAATAGATACAGAGGCAGAGACATATGTAATACCCTTTGTAATACTTTTAGCAATAAAAAAAAAAGAAACTAGAGACAGTAAAAAGATTGTTGTTGCTAGGAGTTATAGGGGAGAAAGGAATAAATAGATGGAGTAAAGATGATTTTTAGGGCAGAATTAAACTCTTCTGTATGATAAAAAAAAAAAATCTTTTGGTGAGGATTAAAAAAAAAGATGAATCCTTGACTTCATAGAAAACTAGTCAGACCAATTCAGAGCCTGAGGTCTGGCAACCATATCCACTTCCAGATCTTCAATTATCACTTCCATATCTTTTCCCTAAAGGTAGGGACTTCCAAATTCCAACTCCACATTCCCAGTTGTGTTAGGCATTCCACTGGTCCCACAAACCCAAGTGTCTAAATAAATTTATCTTCTTTACCTCTCCCATCCCAAATGGCACCTGTGTTCTCCCAAATTCAAACCTTTGAACCAACTTCTGCCTCCTCCCTTATTAGAGACACCCAGTTAGGACATGAAGGACTTGGCACTTCAAATATCTTCCCATTATCTAACTTAGGTCCTCAGTATCACCTCTAAACCATCCTTTGTAAAATTCCAAGTTTTAATCATTTCCTTGCTCAAAAAGCATCTGAAGTTCCTCATGCCCAAATTACTCAGCCTGGCTTCTAAGGCTGTCCAGAGCAGTGGTTCCAATGTGGGAAACACAGGATAATTCCAGGATAAAAATGGCAAAGTCTGTGTTTTTGTTTTTATCTAATAAAGAATTAAACTCTACCTAGTAGGTTTGGCTCAGTGGACAGAGCATCGGCCCGGGGACTGAAGGATCCCGGGTTCAATTCGGGTCAAGGGCACATACCTCAGTTGCAGGTCCAATCCCAGCCTTGGTCAGGATGCATGCGGGAGGCAACCAATCGATGGGTCTCTCTCACATCTGTCTTTCCCCCCTCCCTTCTACTGTCTCTAAAAATCAATGGAAAAATATCCAGGTGAAGATGAACAAAAAATAAAAAAGAAACTCTAGCAAGAGACAGATTGACCTGATGCCCTCACTAGGGTCCGTAAGTCAATCAGTCCTATATGACACACAAGATGAACACAACACAGGAGCAGGAAGAAGGGGGATGACCTCCTCATTCACTCTGTCACTTCAGTGTGCTGAGGTGGTTATTGTTTGTATATTACAAAATCTCATCAACTTAGTTAATATTTATAAAAACACAGCCTTTAAGTGGTGGAAGCTTTACAATGAGGTGAGAATCTTTGGTAATCCAGGTTAGTTTAGTTCATGATCTCTTTGGAAAAGAGCTGTCTCCAAATGCGCTGACCTTTTCCAGGTTGAGCAGTGGTTGTCAACAGTATACTGCTTAGCAACTGTCTTGAAAATGGACATAGATTAACACTTGCTTCATTTACACATGCTTTTTCAAGTCTCTTATAGTTTGTTTTTAAATTTCTATTTTTTGTTTGTGCTATGCTCTAGCACATATCTGTAGAAATAAACATATTGAGGTTGCTGTGTTCTACACATTTTTACTGTAAAGGATACAGGACCTTAAGTCTCTAGACCAGTGGTTATCAACCTGTGAGTCGCGACCCCTTTGGGGGGTCGAAGGACCCTTTCACAGGGGTCGCCTAAGACCATCGGAAAACACATATATAATTACATATTGTTTTTGTGATTAATCACTATGCTTTAATTATGTTCAATTTGTAACAATGAAAATACATCCTGCATATCAGATATTTACATTACGATTCATCACAGTAGCAAAATTACAGTTATGAAGCAGCAATGAAAATAATTTTATGGTTGGGGGGGTCACCACAACATGAGGAACTGTATTAAAGGGTCGCGGCATTAGGAAGGTTGAGAACCACTGCTCTAGACCAATGTAACATTTGGCTCAAACTCATCTGACACACTGCCTTTCCAGCATCTCTACTTGTATGTGTCACAGGCATTTTAAACTCAACATATCCTCCACCTGCCCCAAGCTGCTCTCTTCCAGAAGTTTTTTCCCATCTCAGCAAAACCCAAAGCCTCAGAGTCCTCCATGCTCCTCTTCCTCTCAGCACCCCTCACCAAATCATGTCAATAAATCCCACTGTCTTACCTTTGGGTCAGTTCCCTTCTCCCACTCCTCAGCATCAATCTTCATCACCTCTACAGTCTTAAATTGACTCACTTTTGGCTTATCTCAAGTGCTACTTCTCATTCATCTTGATACCCCCTGCAACACCCAGCCTAATTCTTGACAATCACGGATACTCAAGATGCTTATTTTTCACATGAATTAAATACACAGAAAAGTGATCTGAAGGACAGAAACTAAATAAGAAATCTGGAATCTCCTTTAATAATCACCTCCCTTTTGGGTGTGGCAAGGTAGGCATCTCCTGGGTTTTGATTTTGGTTGTCTTCACCTGGGGCACTTGGTAATAATAGAGGCCTACATCCTACCCTCTTTGAATAAATCTTGGCCTCTGTTCTTTATTAGCTTTTTGGTGGTGATTCTGCCACACGCCAGAGTTTGAGAACCACTGTCCTAGAAAATATAGCTAAAAATAGCCTAGGCTTTAGTAGTCCCAGGCCAAGTAACGCACTGTTACAACACCGGGGGCAGGCCCAGTCCACTACAGCATAACGATCCTTCATAAAAGTCTGTAAGAGGAAGTAGTGTTCAGGTTCTTGAAGGCTTGATTATCCAAAAACCACTGGTGATCAGGAGAGCTGCATTTGATTACTCTTAAATGACTGTGTTAACTGTGGACCAGTTCTCTACCCTCGGTACCACGCCTATCTGCACTATGGAGTTAATAATTACATATTATTTGTACGGATGCTGCAAGAACAAGGTTATTCACTCAACGTTGCATAAAAACATAAATTACTTCCGACCCTAGATCCCTGGCTTCTCAACCTTGAAGGATTGCAGTCTAAGAGCAAGCAAGGCCTCTGGAGGACCCCGGGGGTGGGGGTGGGGGGCGAGCTTGGGGATTCGAAGAGGTGGCACTGGTTCTGGAGTTGGGCCACCGCCCCCTCTCTCCCCCGCACTTCCCGCCCGGTATCAGGACCAACCTAGGGTGCCCGGCG